CCTCTCAGCCTTCCCAGCACTAACCAAAGTACACATGTGCCTTCCACACAAAGAAAATTATCATGTTCCAGCCCACAGAGATGGAGACCGAGCTGGACTTCCCTAATAATGACCACTCCTGAGTCCCAGCTGCTCTGGATCCAAAAATGAAAGCAGGGACATGTTTCTCTATTGCTCTCAAGAACCCTCCTGCTGGCATGTCCAGCAGGAGGGTTTGAATGAAAAAAATGAATCAGATTTGAATGAAAAAAGGAAAAAACTAGACCAGAGGGCCAGATAGCTGTAGACTGGGACAGAGTCTACTGATACGGAGACTGAAGCAGGGGAAAGAAATTAGGACGTAATTAGGAGACTGAGACAGATGTTGGGAGAGAGGTAGGTCTAGCAGAGAGACTGAGACTGAGACAGAGAGCCCACAAGAGGAGCCAGTGATTGGTTAAGCAATTTGAACATATTCTTACAGAAAGAGTTTAGATCTCTAGAACAGTAGATGCATGTGCAGCAAAACTAGGCAAGAATTTGCAGGCAGTCTATTGCCACAGTAACTTAGTTGCTCAAAGGAATATTGAGCTGAAGCTATGCTCATGAAGAGTCAGTTTGAAATCTACCATGGCAGCAACAGGAGAATAATTTGTAGGCCTGTTGCTACTGTCTGCTTCTATCAAGGAGTGGTAGTTTGGGCTTTTTTGGAGTGAGAAGGGAGACAGAAAAATGTGCCTGCTAAGCTTTACAACTAATTTGAAAAAGAATATAGCAAACAGTTTCAGGAACATCTGGCGCTGGGTGCAGCTCAATATGAAGTGACTTTGATCCAGAGGATGGAAGCAAAGTGAGAAAGAAGGAAGCAGCATGCTGTAAACTTAGACTGCAACTCAGACAACACATGGATCTGTGAAACTTGTAACAAGCTGTGTCACTGTTGAATTGGGCTGGTCAGCCACAAGCGGATTCATCAGGCACCTGACTAGGCCTCTTACACGTACACCATTATCCAGAGGATTGACAGTTGCCTAGTAATCATTATTTAAAAACTAATAAATTCCACATGTTCTATGCTGAGCATATGACTGATTTTTAAATCTGGGAGAATTTTACAAGAGAGTGCCAGCATCAATCAATCAATTAGCATTGATTACTGGAATGGAGATGAAACACAATAAGGATAATTTAATCAGGTTTCCTGAACAATGGGCTTGAGTGTGCTTAAGGTTAGGATGTTCCTGCTGCCACACAGCCCCCTAATGTGAGGTGTTAGTAACCTTTTTAGATTCTCCATGACTATGTCGATACAGATCTGTGGAATATGGATGGGGAGGAGCAATGAGAGGATACTAGGTGTGTCTAGGAGCAGTTCTGGGAGTCAGAGGCTGGGAGACTGCAGAGAAGGGAGGGGATAGTGGAGACAGAGAAGTGACAGAGGGAAAAGGAAAGAGATTTTGGAAAAGGAAAGAGAGGAAAGGGGAATTTTTTGGAAGGGAAGGGAAATAAATGAGGATATGCTGTAGAGGAAGTGAGTGGTATTAGGACTGAGAGCACAGGCCAGCAGGCTAGAGGAAAAGATTAATGGGTTGAGACAGAGGAGTGATTGGCAAAAAACCCCAGAGGTCTCAGAAGTGGGGGGACCATGTCAGTCTTAAATGAGCGAATGTGCCAGGATGTGGTAGGGCTGCTATATTGATGGGGTATGAGGAAGAGTGGCTGTACCTCTCTCTCCCTTATGTGTACCAGCACATAGCTGGGGAAAACCAGCCACAGCTGCGATGGGGGGTACAGCTAGGAGAGAGCAGTGCGGGGAGGATGTGGGGCCAGTTTACTGTATAGCTTTGTCTATGTAACCAAGGGAGTGTGTGCCCCTTTAGTCAAATGCTGCCTGTGATATATGTGTGCACCGTTAGAGGGCACCAGAAATCAAGGAGCAACTTGTAAGTGTTAATGGGTTCTAAAATACTAATGGCTGAATGAATTAGGAAGGAAGTTGCTGGAAATGTTGGCAAGGAAGGCTATTTGTTGTAGAGGATGACAGAGGAGAGGATAGAGAAGGACCATGCACAGCAAGTTACCCCGGGGGCGGTAGGGGAGGCTGGGGCCAGCACTGTGCCTGTCCCAGCAGCCTTACCTCGGGTACTGGGGGCCTCCCAGGGCTTCAGTCACAGTGAGTGTGCTTTGCAGAGCCTGGCTGGCAGCAGGAAGCCTGGCTCCACTTGTCATCAGTGCTCACTGCCTGAGTGTGCACTGCACTGTTTTTTTGTTTCCACAGGTTTTTCTGATCTCTGGGGTCATTAAAACCTGTGGAAAATAAAACTGGTGCCATGCATGCTCAGGCAGCACACCCTTGAAGTGTGGAGAACACCAGACTGTGCAATATGTGGCACTGCAAACTTTTGTGGTGCTACATACTACACGACCACGCTCGTCTGGATGTGACCAATGGGTGCATCTACACGTGCACTTTACTGCAGAGTTGACTAATTAGCACTTTGTGCTGGGGTGGAACAAGCCCCAGGCTGGCAGCAGAGTTGGAGGCTCAGCCGCATAGCTTCAAAGTTTCGGTACTCTCATACACCAGCCAGCTCCTGTGCTGCCAATGCCGCCACCCAGAGCCTAACACTGACCCCCTGAGCCTGCTGCTCTTCCCTGGCTCAAAGTGGTGTGGTTCTGGGTGCACATGTAGACACTGCATCCAGAAGCAGCTGACTCTGGTGCAAATGGCGAGAATTAACTGAATGTGTAGATGAACCCCATATTGTCTATACCATGCCTGCTAAATGTTACAACTGCTGCACTACCTTTTATAACTTTTTCAGCCTTATCCAATAGTACATCCACAGACTACATGTCTTCCACCTCACTGGTGCCAATTCCCCAGTAAGAAGACCCTTATGTAAAGCTACTGATACAACCTATAGACCACAGCACTGAAGTGCTTCTCAGAATATCAGAAAATGAGATTTGATAATTGCCCCTCTTTCCTCTGTGTCCCTGCATCTCCAAAACTAGACAGATTTACTCAGACACAAGAGAATTAGGATGAGTCCTCACTTTAAAAATGAAATTCATATTGGTTAGTGCTACAGCCTTCCTTTTCTAATCCAGTTCAGAGAGCAGGAGTTTATTCATATGACATGCACACATATTCAGGGGCATGTCTCAAGGGCTATATTCCACACATGCTGTAAAGTATCCTGGCGCTGGGGCAAACTCCTACCTATATTCCAAGTCTCATCTGAAACACTCCTAGGTGCTAATGCACTGTTGACTTTATGATAAGGAATACAGGGCCCTATCTAAGTGTTACACAGTGACACAACTTCCCTCCCCTTTCCTTCTAGGAATTCTATCTTAAAAAATATCAAAGAGTGCTCCTGAGCCTAATGGCCCATAAGATTAGTGTGAGTAAGGTGTGCCAGGTTCTGCAGCCAAAAGGACATGAAGGATGTTCATCACATCCAGCCACTTAGACTCCCCAACTTGAATGACCAGAATGACTTTGACTTTCCAGCTGGGGACTGACTTACTGATTCATTCATTTACAGCTGGATCAATTGGGGGCAGCCTTTGGTTTGCATCCAGAACAGCATTCAGACTCAGACCTCTGAAACTGCAAGAAGGTACCATCTCTGCTCTGCCACTGCATCCCTCAATTCTAACCTTATTCCCTTTATGTCTGTTTCTTTTCCTGCTACTAAAGCTGTTAGTACTGCTCAAGTGTCTGCCCAGACACATGCCAGATCCTGCTGCCTATGCCAACCTGAACTTGAATGCTGGATCCAGCCACTCGCCTGCCCGACTCCAGGTGCCAGATCTGGCCACACAACAGCCCAATTCCATGTGCCAGATTTGGCCATGTGGTGGCCTGATCCTACCCCCACACATGGCCTAATCCTACGCACCAGATCTGGCTGTGGAGTGACAAGCAGGGAAGTGACAACTAATGCTGCCACCACTTCCTTGCCACCAAATTTCTGGACCCATGGGGAGACCCACTGGCTGGATGACATGGCTCTGCAGGCCAGATCTGGCCAGCAGGCCAGAGGTTGAGTACCATGGTATTAGTTGTCTCCATTCTTGACCTTGTACCTTACCAAAGCAGTGATTCACAGCCAAAGTGGTCCCCTCAGTTGTCCTGTCAGTTATATTGCAGCAGCGTTATCTGGCCCTGTAATAAATAGCCTCTCACGTGAACTTGCTTTCACTCCTGCCAGCAACATTACCAGGTTCTGTAGCCAGTTAGGCCACCAAGACAGAGGATGAGGATTATATCCCCTAACAGGGGGTAGAGGCATCTTGTTTTGGAGTGAAAACTAAGACAAACATACCCGGATGCTGTTGAATGGGAATTGCTATATAAAAACCTGAGATATCATTTTAATAATCTTCCTTTTACTGAAGACACTTTAAACCTCTCACAGGGTTATGATAAGGAGTTGCTCAGCCATTTTATGAGAATAAAACATTCTAGCTCTTTTTTCAACTTAAATTAAAACATGGAAATGTACATTGTATTCAGAACACTTCTTTACCTCCATCAAGAACTGTGCATACCCTTGATAAATTGATGAACTGTGCCTTACAGATGTGTGAAATACTTGAGTAAAAGATTGAGATCATATTATTTCTAGAGCTCTGTTACTGAGAGAAAGGTGCTTTCAGTGTCTGACATTCTCTGGGTTTCACAGTTCCTGGTTTTCCAGCTATCTCCAGAGTCTGTTGTTTTCTCTGAAACAAGGCAACATTTTCTGTATATTGTTGTAAAGTGAACTAGTTGGGGAGCTTAGGGGGGCTTTTCTTTCTTCTACAAAATAATATTTTGTTTCATTAACCCCCTGAATTTGAGCTTGGCTCCTGTTTCTCTACATAGGCAGTAAATTGACAGGGAAATGAAACTGACTTTGTATTTTCACTTCACTATTCTGTGCAGTGTATCATTGTGACTGGCATTGAACAAGGGACAAGGATAACTCTAAAAGCTGAGTCAGCCGTTTTCCAGTACAGAAGAGAAATGATCCTTAAGAAAGGATTTAATTCCTAAATACAAGATATAGCATCCCCCAGCACACACAAACACATATTTGGAGTTACCAGGAGAACAGTGGGATTTTGTTGGAAACTCCAAATGTAAAAAGGAAAATCACCATTTCCAGTGATGGGTCAAAATAAGAAGTAAAGCGAAGTTAGTAGTGTCTATTTTGCAGAACACTGCTTTGTACCAGGATCCTTGTTTCTGCTGCTGTTGCCTCAAAGGTTTTCAGAGACGGTAAGAGGAAAGGCGTTATATGTGGCTGTAGGTCTCTTTTCCTTTCATGTTGTTTTTGCTGGGAAGGGAAGAAATCCAGAGAAAGTGCTTCTGTTCCACCAAGATCACAGCTATGCTATTCCAAGACTTCAAAGCTGACTTGTGATGGTAAAAAAATTAGTCTGTACTTTTTTCCTGTTTTTTATGGTGTAAGATAGCCTGAAATAAAATAAAGTAGCAGTCAGGTAACAGGGGTTGATTTATCTTTTACTTTAGAAATAAATTAGGTCTGTCTCTTGACATCTTTGGACAGTGGCAGGATTGCACAGTGGCAGTATCATAGCCAATGAGGTTAATCCAAGGTGTGATTATTGCTAATTGAAAACTTTTCCTGAGATTGAAAGCTGAACATCTGAGATGGGAGAGCACAATTAGTTATACTGTTTAAGGAGATAGGACTGCCAGGGTCTTCTCAAGGCCACCAAGTCTAGCCACTTTTGTGCACAGGCAGCTATTTTCCCAGAGTCATAGAATCAGAGAAAATGAGGGTTGGAAGGGATCTCAGGAGGTCATCTACTCCAACCCCCTGCCCAGAGCAGGACCTTCTTAATAAAATCATTCCAGACGGGGCTTTGTCTAGCCAGGCCTTAAAAACCTCCAAGGACAGAGATTCCACCACCTCCCTGGGTAACCTGTTCCAGTGTTTTACTACCCTCGTAGTCAGAAAAATTCTTCCTAATATCTAACCTAAACTCCCCTTGCTGCAACTTGAGACCATTGCTCCTTGTTCTGTCATCTGCCATCACTGAGAACAGTCCAGCTTCATCCTCTTTCAAATCTCCCTTCAGATAGCTGATGGCTGCTATTTAATCTCCCCTCAATCTTTACTTCTCTAGACTAAATAAGCCCAATTCCCTCAGGCTGTCCTCAGAAGGCATGTGCCCCAACCCCCTCACCAGTTTTGTTGCCCTCTGCTGGACTCTCTCCAATTTGTCCACATCCTTTCTGCAGTGGGGGGCCCAAAATTGAACACTGCAACCCAGATGTGGCCTCAACAGTGCTGAATAGAGGGGAATAATCACTTCCCTTGACCTACTGCCAACACACCTACCAATGCAGCCCAGTATGCCATTAGCCTTCTTCACAACAAGGGCACACTGTCAGCTCATATTCAGCTCACTTTATACTGTAACCTGCAGGTCCTTTTCTGCAGAGCTGCTGCCCAGCCAGTCAGCCCCCAGCTAGTACTGGTGCATGGGATTGTTCTGTCCTAAGAAACTGTCCATTCCAATCCCACCCACATCGCAGCCAGAGCCATGGACCACTTTCTGAAAACAAACCACCCTACAACATATCACAGATAAAAAGCAGGGGAGACAAGGGTATCTCCAGTGTCCTGCCACTGCAGTGGCAAAGAATTAGTAAAAATAATTAAAAAATGGATCTTTGGGGGATTGTTTATTTCTGGTAATAATTATTTAGCCTCTAATACAGAGCTGGCAGAAATGTTCATTTAAAAAAAAATGAAATAACCTAGCCCTCCGGATTGAACAGCCCCTTCAAATACAGGCTTCTTTTCTGCATCATAAATAGGCGTGGCAGAATTTTATTTTTATATTTTAATAATTTTGACAGATAACATCAATGCTTATTTTTAAGCATTTATTTTGATTTCAATTTATTTAAATTTCCAGGATTGCACAAAATTAAGGGTGTGGGGGCGGGGTAGACAATTTGTTAATGACAGTATACGATTACTATAGTGCAGTTTAACCACCCACTATGACAAACATAAATACTGTAGGATTCCTGTTAGGTGAGTGGCAGGGCTGCCATCAATCCCAGATCTGCTGGCCTACAGCTCCCTCATCCACTTTCTCCCTACTTCTTCCTTTGCTCCCAGTCCCCTGGAGTTTCTGGGAGTTGCAGTCCAAAGTAGAGTCAGCACGGTTCTGTAAGACTGCTCCCCCTGTAGTCACATACTCCATCAGCCATCATTTTTCTTACATCCCCTTTCTATAAATTTTGATTATTAACAATGAAAATATTTTTTGTCTGTCTGAAAGCATGAGGTGAAATTGACATTTATTAATGTTTACCAATAAAAATCAAATCCTGCCAAGCCTAATCATAAAGAAGAAAATACATGCGTTCCCCTATTTTCCTTCAGCCCATCACCTTCCAATAAAATCTTCCCTCTCCTCTTCTTTCCCTTCCATTATATAACATCTATAAAGGCCAGATCATAGCAAAGCAATAGGAATAAGCCAGGTGATTATTAGTAGTAGTAGTATTTATTGATACAGTAAATATAAAAGTGCTAATTATTGTTTAGTAGGGTGAAGACTTCACATTACAGAAAATTGTGCCTCCCTCCTCGGAGTAAAGGGTATGTAGAAAAGACAAAGGGTAATCCAGTCCTTTGCATATTCATGAGGTCTAATATGAATTAAGTACCATATATGCAGCAACAGGGTTTCCACACCTTCTTCTACCTATATGACATCCTTCTGTATCATCAAAACAAAGGAAATAAAGTATTCAGTACTTGGACTGAGACATATACAAAGGCAACGATTAAGACTCTTCGAAAATGTTTATGTTTAATACTGAATTCCAAAGACTAACTTTGTAATTGTGGTTTCTCTTACCAAAACTTCTAGCAATGGGACAGAAATGCAATTTTATCTTTGAAGCAGGGTGTTCCTTAGGCTCCCTGCCAATGTAATTGGCTTATTTGTATCCTTCCCTACTGATTACCTCAGGGTACCCTACGTCCCTACAAGACCTATAAACTGATGATTTCAGTGCATGAAAATCATAAATATTGTTCTGGAACTGGCATGGTCCTTACAGCTTCCTACCCTCAAACTAATTATTGCTGTCAAAACTGCCCAATAGATTTGCAACCTTTTCCTTCAATCTCACATTGTAAAAATAGGGGAGGCTGCTAAAAAGCAATGGGGAAATTAATCTTTTCCTTCCACTGAGTGCTAGGAAAATATCCTCCAGGAACTTTGCATAGGAAGCTCTGGGCCACTATGTTTGGCTTTCAGTTTTGGGTTTCCAACATTCTCAGCCAGATTCCTTCAACCAGGCCATTCTTCGGCTGTATTATATATGGGCCATTCTGAAAGATGCTAGATCTTTCTGATCTTGCATAGAGAATGGTCTTAGGCTGAGCTCTAGAGGAAGGCAAATGTAGAGATAATTTAATTTTTCCTTGTCACAAAATACCATTTTTTAAACCAAAACTACTTAATATGATATTATTCAGAAGTTATAGCCTTTGCATAGAGTTACAAAGTCATAGAGTCATAAAGAAGTAGGGCTGGAAGAGACCTCAAAAGGTCATCTAGTCTGAACTCCTACCTGAGGCAGGACCATACCTATCCAAACCATCCCATACAACCATAATCTAAACTCTACATAAGACTACCCTCAACCCTGACACAACACAGACTTAACACCCTAACTTGCCACAGATAAAGCAGGGGAACCACAGCAGCCAATGCCTGCTTCTATAAAATATTGCCAGTATACGCCCAAGAGATCCCAGATAGAGGGCTATGCCCTCCACTACAGAGGAAGGCAAAAAACCCCACAATTCATACCAATCTGATCCTGGGGTAAAATTCCTTCCTGACCCCAAATGTAGTGATTGATCTGATCCTGAATGGAGGGGTAAGACCACCTAGCCAGGAACCTCTAGCTTTGCTTGTAGCAAGAGAATCAGCACACCCCAGTTGAAGTCCCCAGCCTTAGTTATATCCAACACGCAATGCCTCTGGGAAGGTTTAAAAACACACTGACATATAACAGAAAAAGGGGAGGGGGACAGGGGGTGGGAGTAACCAGCAAAGCCCAGAAGCATGGGAAATACCCATGGAAGAAAATAAGCATAGTTATGCCTAGATCATCCCTGACCAGTGGCTGTCCAACCTCTTCTTGAACACCTCCCATGATGGAGAGTCTACAACTTCCTTAGGCAGTCTATTCCACTGCCTCACTCTTCTAACAGTGAAGAAGTTTTTTCTGGATATCCACCTAAATTTATGTTGCTGCAGCTTCAAGCCATTGGTCCACATCCTCCTGTCTGCAGCAAGAGAGAAAAGGTGTTTTTCCTCTTGATGACAGCTCTTCAAGTATTTGCTATCATGTATCCTCTTAAGTGCCTTTTCTGTAAGCTAAACATACCTAGCTCCTTCACCCTCTCCTTGTATGACTTGCCTTCCAAGCCCTTGATCATCTTTGCTGCCCACCTCTGGACTCTCTGTAATATCTCCACGTATTTTTTAAAATGTGGAGCCCAGAACTGCACACAGTACTCAAGGGCTAGAGACAGAAGCTACACATAAACTGGTTTAAGTGATCAGAAACTGGTTTAAACCTGTAACAGAACAGAAGTTCAGTGCACATAAACCAGTTTCAAAATGGCGGAAACTGGTTTAAGATAAACCTGGTTGAGTGTACTATCAAACTTAACTGATTTAGGTCAAACCAGTTTATGAAACTTCTGTCCCAGACCCCTTCCTGATTCAAGTTAAATCAGAGTTCCCCAGCATCCCAGCATGGTTTGCATCCCTGGGTTGGGTTGTGCTGTCTGCTCCAGAGAACAGGGCTGGCCCTGCCCCTCTGTTTCCTACCTGGAGTGGTGAGGACTGGTTCACTGGCCAGCTCACTGCCCGCCCCACCCCTCCCCACACTCTTCCTGGGCAAACCCCAGCTAGGGTCTGGGAATAGGGAGGGGGGTTAACTCATCTTCCCCTGACTAAAGAGCTTCCCTACCCTGCTGGCATACTTAGTGCTGGCTGAAACTGTGGACTACAAATCCCAGAGGTACCTGGAAGTAGGAAGAAGTGATGAGCAACCCTGCAGAGTCCTGTTCCTATGATTGTGCACTGCAAATCCCAGAGACCTTGGGGGCAGCAGGAAGAGGAAGCAAACATACATCCCATGCTGGCTACCTGCCAGAGAGCCTTGCTGTAGTGCCCCATGATTTCTGGCTTGAGACACTGCAGGCATGTGGCTGCATTTCCTGAATCAAAAGTGAATGTTCATTTGTTTATTGATTCAATCTTTGCAGCTTATACTAATCTGCAAAGACCAAATCAATTCAGCCTTGGGCTTTTTGACTGTCTGTACTTAGCCCAGATGAGGCCTAACCAATGCTGAGTAGAGAGGCACTATCACCTTCCCTGTCTTGCATTTAATGCTTCTACTGATGCAGCCCAAAGCCACATTCACCTTTTGTGCAGCTGCATCACATTCATATTGAGTCTGTGGTCTACTAAGCAGGGTTCAAATTACAATTCGACTCTTGGGGGAGTCTGCAAAAAAAATTAAACGGGTTCATTGATTAACAAGTCCACCTAAGTGGAGGTGCAGTCCATAGTTTCATAGTAGCTAGGGTCAGGAGGGACCTGAACAGATCATCTAGCCTGACCCCCTGCCACTGGCATGAATGAATGCTGGGTTCACACAACC